GTGTGTGTGTGTGTGTGTGTGTATGTGTGTGTGTGTGTGTGCACAGATTTCAAAGCGCAGATTGCAAGGGTTTTGCCCAGCTTCCCATGCTTGCTTGAGTAATCAACTCCACCCCCCACCGTACACCCTCCGCAAACCCTGTGTCACCGTACTCAAACCTGCTTTGGCCTGCCCGCCCTCGGCCCTGCGCCGCAGTGCTGGTCTTCTCCCACAGCAAGCGCATGCTGCGGATCATTGAGGCCTTCATCCAGAGGGAACAGGTGCGCACTCAAAACCTGCGACCCCGGCTGGGGCTCGCAGACACGCGATTGCGGCGCTGCGGCCTCCACCCCTCCCTCGGCCTCCGGTCCTCGCTGTCGTCGCTGCGGCCTGCCGCTTCTCTGTCCGGCGCCAATGGCGGCCCTCTCATTTGATCGTTCCATGGCTGCCCCCCCATATCGTCCCCCTGCTTGGCTCCCTGACCAACCCCTGCAGTACGACTACCTATACATTGATGGTGGGCGGCTGGGAGTGACCATGCAGCTTCAGACGCCTATCATCTCACTGCAGCTGACGCACTCGTCGCGCATGGGACCCGCAGCGCTGCGCTCCGCGTCAAAACGCCTGCTCCTGCCACTGCGACATCAAGGTTGCCTCTGGCCATGGCTTCAGGAGGCCGCCACGCCTCTTGCACATCCCTCCCTCGCCCTCCCTGGCCTACGCGACCACAGCGCCCCTCTTCCCTCACCCCTTGGCGGCCGCCCGCTCGCAGGCACGGTGACCGGGGACGAGCGGCAGCGGAGGGTGGATGAATTCAACTCCAGGTGGGGTTGACCGGTGCCGCTGATTTGGGAGGAGTTCAGAATACTCTATATTCATGACTCAATTGAGGCGGGCCGCGTCCAGCCATGGCACGGGGTTGGCGGGTGCGACGAGGCGGCGTTTGGGGACGCATGAACGCTCCAGGGGGCCAGCCCCCCAAGGATCATGGTATGTTATCACTGGTGCACATCTGCCTTGGCGGCAACCCCTGAGCGAGCGCTTGTGCTCAACCCCCAATATTTTGAAATGATTGACGGTCTCATTCCCACCAACAAACAAACGGTCACCCTCATCCACCCTGCCCCGCACCTTAGGCCCAGCGTGTTCCTGTTCCTGGCCACCACTGGGTCTGGCGGCGTCGGCCTCAATCTCACAGCAGCCAACAGGGTCGTGGTCTTCGACCCAAGGTGGGGGCCGCCGCTAGCCTAGTCAGAGGGGTTGGGGTTGTTTGTACCAGGTTTGCCGCGGAGCCGCGTTCGCTGCTTGCGCCGGCTCGCGCCGCATGGATGGTGGCCTTGTGCCGCCTGGCGCAGCGCGCCAGGCGGCACAAGGCCCCCTGCTGACGTTCTGGGAGCGCAGCCTTTTGTGCTGTCACCCTTCTCACTACCTACGTGACCTTGATGGCACACAACCTTTGTCGCACGTCCCTTTTGAGCCGCAGCTGGGATCCCAGCCAGGACCTGCAGGTGTGGTGTGCTGTGATGGGTGTCCTCAGATCACATGATATTGCCGCCCATCATCACGCTGCTGACCGCCCGTGCTGACATGGCCGTCTGCATCCCTGTGCAAGCAGCGCCCTCTCGGGCGGGAAGTGCGCGGGGCTCCTGTGTGCCGCGCGGCACGCGCCCATTCTCCTGGTCACGCCTCGCTGCAGCTAGCCGGTCCAAGGGTGTTCAGCCCATCGCACCACACACTTGCAGCTCGCAAAGCCCATCGCTTGCCAGCGTTCCGCCACTCGCCCGTCGCCCGCCTGCCGCCCACCCCTGACCCGCCCCCAGGCCCAGGACCGAGCGTACCGCCTGGGGCAGCGGCGCGACGTCCAGGTGTACCGCCTGCTGGCCACAGGGACGATGGAGGAGATGATCTACAAGCGCCAGGTGATGTCAGGAGAGGCCTGGCTTGGTTGCGCGCAGGCAGGGACAGCACAAATTCTGAAATGCAGCATGCAGTCCTGCGGACAGCATGTGCCGACCGCGCATACGTGGGACTTGTTTGCACTTCATTACACACTTGAGCGGCACCCTGTGTATTTTGCCCATGATATCATGGTCGGTCCACCTGAGGCCAATGCGCAACAACCCCTACCCCCGCTCCCGCAGGTCTACAAGCAGCAGCAGACCAACCAGGTGATCTACGGCACCACTGAGAAGCGCCACTTCGAGGGCGTCAAGGTGGGTGTGTGGGTGGGTGCGTGTGTGGGTGTGTTGTTGGGTGTGTGGGTGTGTTTGGGGGGGAGGGCAGGCTCGGGGCGCGCCGAGGGGTGCTTGCGGCAGCAACGCCATCAGCTGCACAGCCGTCGCCCCGCTGTGGCGGGACAGCACCAGCAGCGTGCCTGCCTTACCTCGCGGTACCGCAGCCGAATCGTAGCTCTCGGGTACCGACGCAGGTCCTAGCTCATCTGAGGTATAAACCCACGCTCGCAGCTGCCACGCCGCAAAGTTGTTGCAGATTGACGCACGCGCACACACACACACACACACACACACACACACGCATACACACACTCACACACACGCATACACACACTCACACACACGCATACACACACTCACACACACGCATACACACACTCACACACACGCACGCACGCACACACAGGCACACCTGCGCACTCTCGCACACGTGTCCGCGTGTCCGCGTGCGTGTGCGCACGCTCGCGCGTACACACACACACACACACACACACACACACACACACACACACCGCAGGGCCACAAGGGCAAGGTGGGTGAGCTGTTTGGCATCATCAACCTCCTCAAGTACACACCAGAGGCCGTGGACACGGTGGGCAGGAACACCCCTGGCAGCTCCCAGGGTTGTTGTTTCTTTCCCAACCGCAACCTATGGGGGCAGGAGGGAGCAACGCTCCAGGCATGCGGCGATTACACATGCGCAGGTGAATGCAGCACCCGACGGTTTCAATAATGCAGTCAGAGGTTGGTCAGGGCTGGCCGGTCCCTGCTGTCGCCGCACTCACTCACGGCGGCGGCTTGCGTGACCGCACCATTCAGGCGGACATTGCCGCGGAGACCGCCGCGCGCCTGGCGAACAGCGAGGAGGCGGCCTCCCAGGGCGCTGCCCCTGCGGACGCCGCAGGCGCCGCGGCAGCGGCGGCGGGTGGGGCCGCAGCCAAGCCCAGCTATGTGATTGTCACCCTGGACCGCCCTTTGGAGCAGATTGTTGCTGAAAATGCACAGGAGGAGGAGGAGGAAGAGGGGGAGGGGGACGCCTCTGTGGATGAGGAGGGCGAGGAGGAGAGCGAGGCCGCGGGCGGCGGCGGCGACGGCAAGGGCGGGTCGCAGGGGCAGCGCCGGCCGGGCGCGGATGGCAAGGCGGGGCCGGGCGGCGGAGGGAGGGGCGGCGGCGCGGCGCTCAGCCGGCGGTGGCGCCAGGTCATCAGAGATGAGGAGGACGAAGAGGAGGAGGAGGAGGAGGGAGAGGGGCAGGAGCGCGCCGCGGCTGGCCGTCAGGGGGCTGGCGCCAGCGAGGGCGGGGACGAGCTTGAGGAGGGCGAAGAGGAAGACGAACAGGCGGCCGGGGGCGAGGAGGGCGGCGCGGGCGCAGAGGCGCGGGCGGACTTCAATACGCTGCTGATAGAGCAGTGGGACGACGATGACGGGGGGGGCGGCTTTGAGGGCCGCCAGCAGGTGTTCGGCGA